CGCCTGGACAGCGCGTCGGCGACCGCGTTGGTTGCACCCGGCTTGTATTCGACGGAGAAGTTGAATCCCAGCAGCTTGCCAACCCAATGGTGTTGCGGAATGGTGGCCAAGCGCTGGTCCAGGAGGTATTTCAAGCTGTAGTGATCTGTCCGAACGGTGAAGCGGCGCCCCCAGAGGTATGGACGCCAGTGACGCACCACCTGGACCAAGCCAATGAGCTCACGCTCATATGCTGCCAGGGCGTGATGTCGAGGTGCGACCTGCCGGCTGAAGAAGGCGATGGGGTGTCCCTCCTGGATGAGGACAGCACCAAACCCGTGGGACGATGTGTCGCACTCGACGACGAATGTCTTGGTGAAGTCCGGCATAGCGAGCACTGGTGCCGAGGTGACTGCCTCCTTTAGGGTGAGGAAAGCCGAAGTAGCCTTAGGACCCCAGGTGAAGCCCTCCTTCTTGAGGAGCGCGGTGAGCGGCGCGGCGATGGAGCCATAGTTGTGGATGAACTTGCGGTAGTAGCCCGCAAGCCCAAGGAAGCCGCACACCGCCCGTGCGGAACGAGGTACCGGCCAATTGTGAATGGCCTGTACCTTGGAGGAGTCCATGGCCACCCCTGCCGCCGAGATCGTGTGGCCGAGGTAAGCGACAGAGGCGACCCCGAAAGCACACTTGGAGCGTTTGACGAAGAGGGTGTGCTGACGAAGCTCGCTGAGGACGGCGCGGAGGTGTCGTAGGTGGTCGGCCCAGGACTTGCTGTAGATCAAAATGTCATCAAAGAAAACAAGGACAAACCGGCGGAGGAACGGCCTCAAGACGTCGTTCATGAGGGCCTGAAATGTTGCCGGGGCATTGCAGAGGCCGAACGGCATCACCAGGAACTCATATAGGCCGTCGTGTGTGCGGAACACCGTCTTGTGTACGTCCTCCGGCCTCATGCGCACTTGGTGGTACCCCGAGCGCAAGTCGAGCTTGGTGAAGTACTTGGCGCCATGGAGCTCATCCAAGAGCTCGTCGACGATGGGGATAGGGAACGCGTCCTTCACCGTGACCGCGTTGAGTGCGCGGTAGTCGACGCAGAATCGCCAGGACTCGTCCGGCTTCTTGACGAGGAGGACCGGCGAGGAGAAAGCGGAGTCGCTGCGCCGGACGATGCCGTTCGCGATCATGGTCGCGCACTGCTGCTCCAGCTCCGTCTTGTGGGCGGCCGGATACCTGTAGGGCCGCACTGCCACCGGCTCGGTGCCGGGCTTGAGGAGGATGCGGTGTGCGCGGCCACGCACTGGAGGGAGGCCCCGCGGCTCCGCGAACACGTCGGCGAACGCGGCGAGCAGCTCCTCCAGGAGGGGCTCGGCCACCGAAGTAGAGTGGAGGCGCGGTGGTGTTGGCGGAGCGACGCTGCGCCAGCAGACCTGCTGGTCTGCCATCTTGAACGCCATGGTCCCTGCAGCCATATTCCAGACAATATCGCCCAAAGTCGCCAGCCACTGGGTGCCCAGCACTAAGTCATATCCGGCCAGGGGCATGATGTACAAGTCGACCGCGAACGGCCGGTTGTCGATGACAACGGGCGCGTGGCGCAGAACGCCCGGACAGGAGATGCGTTCGCCATTGGCCACGGTCGCCGTGAGCCGAGGCCGAGGCTCGACGGGCAGGCCAGCCCACTGCGCGGCTGCTTCGCCGATGAAGCAGTGGGTGGAGCCCGTGTCGATAAGGGCGAGCAGCGTGGCCGCGCCCACCTGCACCTCAAGCTGGAGGGTGCCGCACACAGGGACGCCAGCGACGGCGTGTAGAGAGTATACCGGCGCCTCCTCCTCGGGTACCTCCTCATCCAGCACGACCCCGTCGATGTAGAAGATGCGGCGGCATACTCTGTTGTGGCCGCGGGAGTAGGGCTCATTGCAGTTGTAGCAGAGCCCGAGTTTACGCCGTTCTGCCTGCTCCTCCATGGAGAGGCGCTTGCCCCCAGCCCTTGGTGGTGGCGCCGGTAGGGCCAGGGGTTGCGCCTGGGCAGCTGGCAGCGTCTGGAGCGCCGGGGTCGGGGTGACGGGCGCTGGCAGGGCCGCCAGGACGCCTGGGCGCGGTGCAGGCGGTGGACCAGGCGCGCGCGGCACAGTCTTGACGTGGGTGGAGTTGAGGCGGTCCAGTTCGACGAGTTCCAGGGCCCGCGCCAAACTCATGGCCGCCGCCAGTGTTTCGGGCGCGTGGATGCGCACTTGGTGGCTGAGCGGTGGCAGCAACCCGCCGGTGTAGAGCTGCACCCGCTGGCCCTCCTCGAGGCGGCCCGCGCGAGGGAGGAGCGCCTGGAAGCGGTTGGAGTACTCCTCGACCGACCCCGTGCGGCGGCACTCGGAGAGCTCGAACAGCGGGGCGGACCGCAGCACCGGGCCAAAGCGAAGGTTCAGGAGCTCCTTGAAGCGCCCCCATGGCGGTGTGCCCTCATCCTCCTGGAGTTGGATGAACCACAGTTGGGCCACGTCCTCCAGATTGTACGACGCCATCCACACCTTCTCCTCCGGCATGGTGCGTTGCTGGCGAAAATACGACTCACACCGATTAATAAAAATCAGTGGGTCGGATTTACCGTCGAAGCGCGGGAAATCCATCTTCTGGAACCGCGGGGGGCGATCTGTGTGATGCTGGCCGTCGTGGTGGGTGCTGGACTCGGACGTCGAGCTGAGCTTCTCCTGCATGCCCGCCATGTCGGATTGCATCTGGGACATGTTGGTGGTCAGGGTCTGGAGCATCTTCATCATGTCAGCCATGGTGGGCGGATCGGCGTCACCCATGTTTGGCGGCGCTGACGTGGCTGTGGACGGAGATGAAGGGGATGGTGGTGGTGGCTGGAAGGGTGGTGAGGCGGCTGTGGAGGACTGGGAGTGGTGGGAAGAAGAGGATCGTCGGCTCTGGGATACCAGGTTGTCAAGGGCAGTGAGCCCAAGGGAAGGGGGACCTCGGCTACGTAGATCGTAGCCGCTGTCCGTGGTGGCCGGCCGGGTTATACCCCCTTGCCGCCGTTCCTCGTCGGTGGGTTATGCCCCCAGCCGCCGGCTTAGGTAGAAGAGAGGGAGAGAGATTAGATGGTAATTCTTTCTTAATTGCCAAGTGTCTAGTTACAAGATATGTATAGCCTCCGGCTCAACCAAAAGGAGTAACAAAGTCCACTAATTAAGGACTAACCAAAATAGCTAATAGATTTCCTACTTTCCCTCCTAGCCACTGCTGGAGGACGCCCCCTGGGTGCTGGCCGCGCGCACAGCAGCGCGTTCCTGGGCCCTGCGCACATCTCGGGCCCTATGGCGCCTAGTGTAGACTTGTTTGAACATGACAACATGTGAGGAAAATAAATAAAAGTGAAAATCCCTGGCTGGCTGTTCCGCAGACGGTCAGCTTTGCTATTGCCAAAAGGTTCATACCACATGAAATCCAATAGAATTCCAACCCTATCAGAACCAACTGCTCAGGTTCCTACCAACTGCAGGCGCGCTCATATTCAGATTGTAAAATAATAAGACAAATGCTCTGTTTCTAGCATATACATAGCACACACCCTATCATAACCAACTGCAGGTGGGGTAACAGAATATATATTGAAATGGCTTAACCCGTACACAAATAATGGTTAGTTCAGTGTAAATAAAATTTCCTCAAAACTGAAGTACACAAAAGCTAATAATAGACTTTTTAGTTGTAGAGACTTGGCAACATGCAGCTACTACTATCTTTTCAGGCATGCTATATTATAGTACTCCCCTCCAGGCAAACAAAGCCCAAGTGCACAGAAAATTCGAATGAATCGTCTTACCTAATTCATCAACAAACAAATTGAATAGATTACCAAGAGCATAGAAAATTCGAATAAGAAAACGTTCAAGACTCTTAAAGAGGCAGTATTCCAGATCACACAAGCATGAACCGGAGGCAATAACAATTAAAGAAACGCATCAGGGCAGGATGGGATTCACTAACAGGGTGGATGTCCGTGGAAGACAGAAGATGTTGGAAGCTCCTCGTGACAGTCCGCAGTCCTCCTCGAGGGCACAGCAAGACGGCGAAGGCGATGGCGGCAAGTGACGACAATGGCGACGCGCTATGGCGAAGCACAGCCGGTGCGCGAGGGAGGGCACGAGGGCGGAGGCCGGTGCGAGCGAGGGGGAGGTCTGCTGGCGAGGCCACAAGATTTATAGCGGAGGATTGATAGCAGTCTCTCTCTTTCCTTTTGTGTTGGGGGCGGCCGGGCGGGAGCGCAAGACCGGGGTCACCGGGGGATTGATGATTCAAATTCTCTTTCCTTCTGTGTTGGAGCAAGGTGCAGGGGAGCCGGGAGAGGCTCGTTGCCATGTATGCTGGTGCCGCTGATGCTGCTTGGCCTCCATGCATGTTAGCCATCCGACGACATGTCACCGTTGCTGTGCATGCAAACATGCAATCCGTACATACATAGTATAATAATTTTCTACTTCCTATTTTGCCGTGGTCGACTCCGTTAGTTTACATTTCTGTTGCCGGGTGGAGATCGCACACAGATCCCATTTGGTCGATAGAGATAGCGAGATTATGATATGTGAACACCTGTTTGTTTTTTTTTTTTTTTTTTTTTTTTTTTAACAAAGCGCTAGCATGCGCCGTAGACTGCGAGCGATGGCCTGTAGCGCATCATTTGTTGGGCGCTTGTTGACGACGGCCGCGACCGCAAGCGATTGCCTGTAGCGCGTCATTTGTTGCGAGCTTGCCGCAGTCCACATAGTTTTTTTTTTAATTTATTAATCTCACACGTAGTTGCCATCAAGCGTTCGGATGAGCGCCATGCACAAGCGGCCGTATATACAAACTTAAATGTAATATTTGAGTAAATATAAACGTGTTATATGACATTTTTCTTGAAATGTAAATCTAACAAGGAATATGACTCAAAATCACATGGAACATAAATGATCATTTTATTATTCTCTAGCCAATAATCCTGTGATTGAGTCCTACGCAAAACCGGAGAATTAGAAGATGCTTTAGTTCAGGAATGATGAGACTCGCGAGAAGAACCGGGAGTACTCGTGCCAAATCCTGTAGCCGTTGCTACAAAAGACAGCATAGCGGCTGGTCCATCCTTCCGCCACGCCGCAGCCGCTGCCCTTGCAACCTACCTCCGGTGACGGCACAGGCACCGGGTCCATCATTCCGTCCACCCTCCATAACACCTCCCAGACCACGTCGACAGCTTGCTCACGGCACCTCACGCACTCTCGGTTGGTCCTGCTGGCCTCCGGCTTGCACCCGTGGGCGACGCCCTCGCCCTCTACCTTCCTGATGTACTGCTCGGCCTCGTTGTCCCCGTAAAGGACGACGCTGAGCACGTAGGCCACCACCTTGTGGTCAGCGATGGCCGCCTGTTTGAGACAGGCAGTGCCAACAGGGTCCGTGCGGCACTGCATGAAGACGAGCCTGAGCCCGAGCCCGAAGCAGGCCTTCGGGTTGCCGGCGGTGGTCAGTTTGTTGACGAGGGCGAGGTAGCGGTTGGGGTCGAATCACCTCATGGATTCCTCCCGCTCTAGCACTACGTGGCTCCTGACGCCGCGCTCCATGCACGCCGCACGCATGGTCTGGCAACTGCAGAGACACATGGACAATACAGGTAGAGAAATTAAATTTGTAAGTAATGCGACTCATGCGTGGGTGGACTGCGGACGCGTACGTGCCACGGAGGCTGCTGAGGTCCTCCATCAGGTGCGGCGAGGTCACGGCGACAAGCCCGGCGATCTCGATGACTATTTCGTACGGGCGCGCCAGTAGCATCTGCCGCGTCGCCATGCTCCTCGTGAACACCATGGCGCCCAGCCGCTTCTAGTTGCCGCCGGTCGGCTGTGGCTGGACTGAAAGCAATGGGTAATTTGTAATGCCGTGATTGACCAAGAAAAGGGAAAAAATAATATGGAAGGGCGTGCAGTGATTGACATTGAGGAGGGGAAAGAAAATCCTAGCCCGGCCAAACCCTCCTCCCTGCCACAGATCGAGCACCACCCTTTCCCTCACTTCTTTTTGTTCTTCCTAACGCACTTCACGGAGGAGGTTGGTTTGCCACTGACCTTCCAATCTCCGTCGTGTAATCATTTCAAACTCGGATTAAAGTAATTCTCATTGTGTTAGTTTCATAGCGTCGAGCTCTACGTAGCACTGCTAACATTCTTCATGTCTCTTAATTATTGATTAAAATATTAATTTGATTATTATCCAATTGAGTTTCTAATTAATCATATCAACACATATTATAGGTGATAAAGATCAATAAGTGTGTTTTATATTTTCTATGTTTTTAGTCTTGTAGATTTCATGAAAAAATTCATGACCCTAGTGCAACATACGAGCATATATCTAGTAAATAAAGGGAAATGCAAAGAGCTATCCTCCTGAATGCGCGGAACCAGCGCCACTATGATCGTGCCATCCCATGACCACGCAAGAGCCGTGCAGGACTTGGACTTGCCTATGCATGAACCAAACACATGTGTCAGGCTGACTAAAACCTTAACTGATGAAACTGAAACAAAGCTAAAATCTAACGAAACTGAAACTGAAAGGGAAGGCATTCTAATGAAACTGAAACTCTAAAATGAAAACAGAGTGATGGTGAACAACCGGAGTAGATCAACACTGGTATAGTGTTGTTTAGCACTATTATTCATTATTACCGCTAACTTGCTTTGTTGATTTTATTCAAGTAATTTATTTTTGTAATTATGCAGGTGCTAATTCGGTTAATCCTACATTGGCACATGAGAAAAGTGGGGGAAGTCGACAAAACTCATGGTTTTGAGAACATACACGTGTAATAGTTATGAATGGTTACAAAACGAAATATTATGAACAAAGCACTTAAAGTGTCATTTTTATAATAATAATATAACACATGTTCAATTTTCATTATGCCATCACACATAGTTTATTAATTTAATAATCTCACAATGTCACACATAGTTTATTAATTTAGTAATCTCACAGATAGTTGATTAACCTTCAAGCGTTCCGGATGAACACCATGCACAAGCGGCTGTATATACAAACGTATATACAAAATTAAATATAATATTTGAATAAATATAAACATGTTACACGACATTGTTCTTCAAATATAAATCTAACATGTACGGATGATTTTTCGGTTGACATGTAGTGTGTATACAATATCTTCATGTAGAGTCTGATAACCCATTTAAAAATATCTAGGAACAGCAACAAATATGGCGTTAGTGAGATACTATTTGTGCAATATTAAATTGATTGAAAAATGCATTGTATGCATTAGTAATGTTCTGTTACTTCGTCTATGGCATTAGAACCTCCTTAAATACAATATTTTTCGTGAAAGTTCCATCAACTATTGGGGTCTTCTTATCCTTACCTTTTTTATTTGACGCATTCTTATTTTTTCCCACGACATTCTTTTTAGCATTTTTCTTCTCTATCTTTTTGGCCTCCTCCTCCTGTGCATCCGCATTAGGCGGGAGGGTAAAGATCTTAATATTCATTCTTGACATGGCTCTAAACATCGCAACGTACAATTGACCGTGAGAGAACACCGGTACGGGCAGGTACACATCCACGTTTGGAATAGTTTGGCCCCGTGACTTGTTGACCGTCATGGCAAAGCTCAGCCTGATAGGAAACTGCTTCATCTTATACTGGAACGGGAACATCTCGTCATCAGACGAGCATAGCGGTATTCGAGGAAGGAATCCCCGCTTCCTAGGATGCTGCCCCACCACGATTTCCGCATCGATTGTATTTCTTCGGAACCCCCGCACCACCAGCCTTGTACCGTTGCATAGTCCATTGGCAGGGTCAATATTCCTAAGCAATATGACCAGACACCCGAGCTTGAGCTTCAAGATGTGTGGAGGCAGTCTATTGGGGGTCCGACAGTTAAGTAACTCCGATGGATAGTAGTTATGTGGATCATCTACCGTGGAGTCAAAACTGTGATACATTGTCTCGCCATCCTAGAACATATCAATCATTTTCATATTGATCATGTCAACCCAATCGTTACGTGTAGATAAAATTGCTCTTGTGGTGATGTAGTCTTTGTCCGCCATGTTTGCATTTAGATCTAGAAAGATGATGCCGATCAATCTATGAAGATCTTTCTCGGCATCGCCAGAGTATGGGACATAGATCTCGTCTGGAATACGTACACTACCATCTTTGTTAACCTCTTCCGTTCCACCACCAATGCGCAACAGATAATCTACAAATCATGGGTCACCTTGAGCCCTCATGTTGTGGACGAGCTTTAGGTGGCGCATGGATTCCCAAAGATATGACCTTCGTAGAGAAGCACCGACTATTTGAGCACGGGATCCTTTCCACACAATAGGGAGGACCTGTCTGAAATCCCCACTAAGGACAACAGTCTTCCGACCAAACGATAGGTCTGACCGGCCTATTATATCCCGTAGGCTATTGTCTAGTGCTTCCACATTTTGCCTCTTTGTCATAGATGCCTCGTCCCAAATTATGAGAGCTGCTTGCTGCAGTAACTTGGCAGTACCACTCTGTTTCATGAAGCTACAACAACCACCCTCTTCAACAGTGAGGGGTATCTTGAAACACGAGTGGGCCGTCCTCCGGCCTGGCATTATGGACACTGCGACTCTAGATGTAGCTATAGCCACGGCAAACTTGTCCTGGCTACGTAGTTTTGTGAGAAGTGCCCTATACAAAAAGGTCTTTCCCGTCCCACCAGGTCCATCCACAAAGAACAGCCCACCTTGCTTGCTATAGACAACGGCCATTATCTCATCGTAGGAAGACCTTTGCTTGGCGTTGAGTGAGACTCACAATAGCACATCTTCGAGATTCTGCTTCATGCTAGCTTCCTCAAATATCTCAAGAGGAAATGACCTTATGTCCTTCCCCATAGACTGAAGCATGTTTCTAATGTCTATCAAAACCATCTGTTGCACTAGATCCGGGGATGGATTATTGCGGCTGTAGTCCTCTGACATTACATCGTAGTGTTTTTTCCACAACCCCATCACATCATTCGGCTCACAGAATACCAATATTGTTGCAAATAGCCTTCGTAGAGAGGAAGGCATCTGGAAGAAACTAGCTTCAATTAGACATTCATCCAGTGTATTATCTTCTTCGATTAGACCCCTCCTTTCTGCAGCTTCACAGAATGAAGGTAGTAGCACGCCATCAACCGTCCTGAGGTGTTCGTATGAGGTAGCACCAGCAACATTGTTTAAGAGAACACGAAGAAAGTAGCATTCTCCCTCAGCAGGATGGCCCGAGATGTCTGCCAACTTGGAAAATAGAGTTTTTCCTTTTCTACCAGAATTTACCATCAGATTGCCAGGTAAAATGCTTCGGGAAGTCCCGATACAAAATTTCGCGGGCTTCCTCAAGCATCCTGTTTGCCTCGAAGTATGCTGTCAGCATGGACTCTTCTACACTTGGCCTATTAACAATCCATTCGACCTTGTCCCGTTTATGAAATGCCACCATGTGCATGTCGGGTAGATGAAGCTGCAGCTGTTGTAGTGGTGTATGATTCTTGCTCAAGTCAAAGCCATATATCGTCCACAGTGCTTCTGGAGGCATCACCCACCGAGTGTCTCTATACTGCTTGATCTCATCAACGTTCCCTTTCTTATCTGCTTTGTCAGTCTCCCTCATCACCACCGACATCCTATCATGTCCCTTATATATGTACTTGAACAGATACTTTACTGATTTAATGCTCCCACAGGCCTCAACATATGGCAGTCAAGGGTTGTAAGGAACGACCCATTTGTAACACCCTCTGTGTTACACCATTAATCATCTACTAAAACATGTCTTGAGCATCATATTTGTGTGTTAATGCATGTGGTGACATGAGTAGATGAAGTGTCGTAACACAGAAGGATCAATAGAATGTTAATCGGAAAGTTATTCCATGATGCACGTAATTATCAAGTAGGGTTGTAAACCAATTTTTATTGAACAAAAATAATATAGAACATATATGCAACACTTAAATAAAGTTGGAAGTACAAACTTTGTAGATGACAATGAAATACTTGGTGTTGATAAATAATGTTGCTAGTTTATATTTCTAAGGGTTTGGAAATGCAACTAGAAATAGAAAGTCATTCACACTTAGAAGATTTCATGAACTTTTGGTGAGCTAGACATTGCGATGTTTGGTAATTTTTAAGGCAATCTAGTTAAGAACTAGGGTACGGGTTGTTTTAGTGGCCTAATGTACCCTCTAGGTGATGGCATAGGTGGTTTTGGAAGGGGATCAACGGTTTAGTTTTTGTGAACACTTTAAAATGCGTGCATGACACGTCTTCGGTCGCTTCCCTCGCGTGGGCACGATCACTGTGTTCCCAAGCTGCGACGTCGCCATGTTGGATGCCCGTGCACGCGCACTGACGTGCTTGGT